CTTGAATCGGCGCATTTCGAGCGTGCACGCCAAGTTGGCGCGGCAAGTGGCAAGCGAACGCACGGGAAAGCACGGGAAGGACGTCAGTCGCGAAGGTACGGCAGTAGTTATCGATTGCCGACCGAGCGCGCGCGTCCGAAAAATCCCCTAGGCCTAGCCTCGTCTAACGGAGCCCAGGCGGCGAGGGGTGAGTTCCGCGCGCTGCCTGCTTTTGGCCGCAGCTGTACCGCCTAATCGCGAGCGCTACGCTCATACCTGCGCGGACGCCGGGTTGAGGTGCTAAAGGTGCACGGGAGCCCCGAGCCGCTTCTGCGGAGCCACCGACCGGAGACAGCGAGATTAACCGATCGATACTCGTCGACGATTAGACGATCGCGTCGCTGGCGGGAATGCTCTCGCCGAACGCGGCGCCCCAGGACTGGCTGCAAGTTCGAGTGAGCTGGAGGACAGCAATTAATGGCCGAGTCGTTCATTCGTGCGAACTCGGGGAGGCGGATCGGCCGACAAGAGTCGGCGGAGCAGAGCGCGAGCGCAGTCAGGCAGGCAAGCGCGCGCTCGCTTGCGAGATATTCGCGCCTGGGTGTTTGACATATTTTGTCCGGGAAACCGACAGATCAGGGACGCGAGTGCTCGCGGATAGCGGAAAGTGAGGGGCGAGAGGCGAGGGGGCAGCTCTGTTCCTGACGTGCAGATTAGTGTCCGCCATTGTGTTGACGTCAGCGCAGTTAACACGTATTCACGGAGAGAGGACTACACTCGGCTCGGGCAAAACAATTGACACCGCCGAACTACGCCAACGCCAGTACCGCGCCGAGCGCCAGACCGAAGCTCGGCTGGGGCTCCGGCCTGACTTTTCCAAGTTTGCCAGACACGCCGCACCGTCGTGCCGCCGCCGCCGCCGCCGTCGCCGCCGCCGTCGCCGCCGCGTCCTGATGAATGTACTTTCGTGTAAACATTAACTAACGCGCTACTTTTGCCGGCGTGGGAGCTTAGTTTCAAATAGAGCGCTTCTCTCTGACAAATCAGGGTTTCTCACTGATGCCTTTTCAAGCTACGTTAAATACTTGAAATATCGATTGCCAAACCATGCCAGCTCTAAAGCCTGGGCAACTTCAAAACGAGCTTTCTTACGATTACAGTGAATGACACGTTTCACAGTCGCTGCGCTATCTGAATTGCTGAAATCACTCGGACGAAATCTGCCTAATACACCTACCGTTGAAAACAAGCTTTCTTGGCAATACATAGCGTCCCTTACGAGGAAAGTCTGACGAAGAGCAGATTTTTATGTTGGTAACGCGCTATTACAACAACAGAACGTTTGTTTAATTGTATGTATTGCTACTTTGTTTTATTTTAAAACGTATACGTTATAAACATCGAATCTTCCATTACGTTTCAAATGTCATTCGTGGAAGCATTGGACACAAGTTAATTTTAATGTGAAATAAATCGTCAATTTTCAGTAGTAAGCCTGTACAATCTGGCAAGTACTTCGGTAGTATAAGGTGTAATAAAATCGCAGTAAAACGGCGATACTTGATTGACAAGCCGATCGCGGCCATCCGCGAAAGTCGAGTCGATTTTCCGCAATGATGAGCTGGCGCGTTGGCAGGGGCGGGAGAGGAGAGAGGAGGTGGAAGAGGTTGTCTGAGCGCCACTTGACGGATGAATATGGACCGGAACAATGGCGTCCGCCAAAAATCAACGGCATTGTTCCAACTGCAGGCGCACCAATCTTCAGAGATCCTCCTCGCGGAAAGAGAGAGAGAGAGAGAGGGAGAGGCAGATGGATGGCACGCGGATGTATCGTCGCAATTGCACTGCCATCCGAAATCTTTTTAACTATGATTTATCGACTCGACAATATGGGCTGCTTGTCGTCGCCGTCAGCATTCGTACGCGTTCTTCTCGATTGACGATAAAAATTTTCTCATTGTTATTTATTCAGTTGGTAGAGCGCTGAAACATACGAAGGAAAACCAAAACACAGACTGAAGCAATGGCACGTATAATACATGGTCACCCCAACGATTCGCCCCTTATGATAGGCAATTCGACACACATTGCCGCACCGCGTTTCTCCGCACGTCAAGGAGCTCCTTTAGAATAGGGGAGCGTAACACGATTCTTCGTGCAGCCAGCTTCTGTTTATAAATCAAATATTGGCGATTCACTTGCGGAAATGTAACATTTATATATTTATTTTCCGCTACATTATTCAAAGCAGGCTTTCAGTATTGGCAGTTCAGGTTTGTTGCTTCTCTTTTAATTGGGAACCAAAAGTTCGCCTGGCAGCAGGATGACTACTGCAGGGGAGCGGAGAGGTGCTGGGTTTGAAATCAAACGTGAATATTGCAAATATAAGTTTTTTTAAAAACAATGTCGTTTATTTGAATCGCACAAGACATACACCGTATTCACTATATTATAATTAACGGGCCCTTTCGTGGAAAGTTCGGTCAAAGGCTGAATATCGCATAAAGTACTTTGGCCGCACGTCAGCCGACATCGCGCCTCCTCATCGTATTGCCTTAATGTCGACTCGCGGCACGGTGTGACGTGTGACGTCTCAATTCTCTTGTGATGAAGATATAATTATTCACGCGAGATATACATGAGATTTCTCGGAAAGTCAACGACGCTCACAACGCACCTCGAGATACGGATTTATTTACCCTGAATTAGAAATAGTTTTTTGCTAAAATCGATTCCTTGCCACGAGCGCTGCTCTCGTCCCTCTACCGACTCTTTTTATTCGATGTTAACGCTCCTGTCTCGCGTCAATAAGAGCAAGCGACGTCTAAAGTCAAGAGGGAGAAAGACATGCTTCACTGCGATGCTTCTATTCATTCTTTTATTCTTATTTCTCGATGAACGGCGAATACTCTTTTACTTTTAGTGTAATTATTAATCATTCGTTCGTTACCCTGTGTGCATATAGAAACGCCAGAAAAAACATTGAACGGAAGAGAATTGACGACGATGATTCATTTGATTTTGATTCTTTTCAGAGTATTTTCATTTTCACATATTCGTTTAAAAATCGTGTAAAAGTTTTTAATTAGCTAACTCGTTTACTTTATTTGTTTTTTTTTTTCGTTTATGGTGCAAAACAATTCAAGACATCCCTATCGTTTACGTAATTTGACTAAAGTTACGGTTGCCGTCGTCAAATCTCGCCAATTCGTCTTACACGGATAGTTAATGATCTTGGTCCTATGTAACGATGATAATTCGAAGAAAGTGTATGAGAAATAATGAAACAAAGAAACATAACGTTTTGTCGTTTGGAATCAATTTTTTTTTATCAATTTCCTCGTACATCATGTGGAGACAATTTCATTTTCGTTTATAACCACATGAACGCTTTTGTATTATATTTCTCGGTTACACACCAATAAACTTCGGACGTCGCGCGTTGGACGTTCTTCGCGACCAATCGACGTTGCATTGTTTGTTAGCGAGCGCTCGGTTTTTCTTTTTCTTTTTGGTTCTATACAATTGACTTTTCACATCTTACGATAATTATTACTTGTATGTTGCTTCGAGACGTGCGCATTACGTGTCGTCGAATAGTCGGTCGAAACGTCGTCAAGCGACTGGTTTACAATCGTTTTACACTATATGAATGTCAGCGAAGAAAATGATTTTCTTTATTTATAATTATAGCCTATGGTCTCTTTATTTACTTAAGTTTTTCGTTTATTTCGTAATTAGGAGTGGGTGGTATTGGGTGAGAGAGGGAAGAGGTCGATTTTGTTTGTTTCAAGGGAAAAGGGCAGTGCTATTATGTACAATGTCGTATAAACAGGGCCTGGCTCGTGTACGTATTTTTTTTCTTCTGATTTATCTAACAAACTTTTAACTAGTTAACGAGACTTTTACCTAAGGTCGTACACGACTAACACTGAAAACTATCTGATATGAGATTTTTTTATTTACTTCCACCGCACACATCACTCGCTCGCTCACTCACTCACGTATATATATATATATATTTTTTTTTTCCTTTATTCTTTTATCTCGTTCACTCGGTGTGTTCGTCTGGATTTATTACGACTTATTGCCTAAATCTTTTAGGAACAGTTCTCTTCGAAAACGCTTGCAACGACGAAAATAATTACAATAGCAATAATAGCAATAATAATAATGATAATAATAATGATAATAAAAGTCGCGCGGTTGTGGGCGCGAGGAAAAAAGAAAACTGAAGAAAAAAAAAAAAAAAAAAAAAACGCGAACAAACCTCAGTCTTGGACAAGGAAAAACAGAATCTCGCGCGCGGGCCCGCGCGCGAGCGCCGCTCGGCGACTTTTATGAGCGCATTGTTGCAAACACATCGCGCTGACAAAAGTCGAGTCAGTCGAGCAGCGCGCTCGAGCAGAGTGCGCTGGCGAAGGATCGACGAGGTGTCTGGTGAGAATTTTTTTCTTCTTTCTTTCGCGAATCGATCGTGTGCGCTTACATCACATTTCTTTCAAGTACTTTTGTTTTTGCGGTGCGAGCACCCATAGTAACGACACAGGTAAGGTAATAGTACGTTAAACCTAAACAACTTTGGCATTTCTAGTGGCCGACTTCTCGTCGCTGGGGCGCTGTGGAGTGCGCGCGCCAAACTATTTTTCTTTTCCTCGGTCGCTGCAACGATCAAACAACAGAGACAAATGCCCGAAACAAAAGAAAACTTTTGCTCGTCCGCGCGTGCAATGGCTGCGGCGACCCCAGCGACGGAAGCTCAGGCGTATTCCGTTAAGTACGATCGATTTTTCTCTCAATTTGGAGTTTGAAATAAAGTGCGCCTCGATCGAGGACAAATATGTCGATAATAATAATAATAATAATAATAATAATAATAATAATAATAATAATAATAATAATAATAATAATAATTAATAATAATAATAATAATGATAATGATAATAATCATAATAATAAGAATAATTAATAATGACAATAATCATCATAATAGCAATAATAATAGCATTGATAATAGCAGATAGTAATAGCAATGATAATAGCAATCAATAATCGTAGAAATAATTATGATACAATGTACACACGCGACAAGCTTAGAAATCAAAATTTTCGCGTATTACATATATATCTCAGCAATGCTCCTGCGACGACCCGCTCGAACGGTGACCATTCGCACAGAATAATGACGGACTACGGATTAGTCCCGAACTATGTACATATAGCATCGAGGAGATACATCGAGAGACATTAGAAAAAAGTTGCGGGCGATGAAGGTGAGCCGCGCGAATCACATTTGGAATCGATCGCCCACGACTTTCACTCCCATCGCCATTACATATATCGTTATTACCTTGTACAATATACATATATATATTTCATATATTATTAAATAAATAATCTTCAATGCGATAATAAAGTTACAGCGGCGCCAGACTATGTATATATTTATATATCTTTCTCTCGTTTTGTCACTCTCCGTCTTTCGCTCACTCACGCGCTCATATATATAATATTTATATTGATTCATCTATATATATTCATCTGTATCGTTTCTCCGGCTATATATAATTATAATAATAATAATCGATTTAATAATAATAATCTTCGAGTGTCGTATTTGCAATATGTTCAGTGGTAACCATCGCGGTACTGGCCTTCGTGGCTGCGAAGACTGGCCTGTCTCAGTAGACCGGGTAAGGTGGCCGGTGGGGCCAAAGCGGCGGCATAGGCGGTAAGCTGCTGCTCCAGGATCAGGTATCCTTGGCACTCACCGACGAGTCCTCGTCTTGACTACTCGGGTAAGGTATTCCCAGCTTGGGGCCTTGTTGCACGACGACCACGCACTTGCGCATGTGCTTCTCCAAGGTGCTCGGCACCGAGAACGGCATGTCGCAGAACCGACACTTGTACGTGTCCTTGCCGTGCCTGCCGTGGGTTTTCATGTGCCTGGTCAGTTTCGAGCTCTGAGCGCAGGCGTACGAACAGAGCTCGCACTTGTAGGGCTTCTCGCCGGTGTGCGAACGCCGGTGGACCGTCAGGTTCGAGCAGTTCTTGAAGACCTTGCCGCAAAACTCGCACGTGTCGTTTCTGCCGCTCCTCTCCTTCTTGAGCAGCGGGCTCGGCAGGCCCGGGAGAGCTAGGCTGGAGGTGGTCGCTTTGCTGGCCTTGCGGAACTCGTTGTTGTCGAGGTAATGCGGGTTGGGCAGCCACAGCCCGCCAAAGTCCGGGCCGCCGGCCCGAGGAAAGCCCTGGCCGGAGAAGATGCTCGCCGCCGAAGAGGAGTTGAAGTTGGTTGGCGAGATCGTGCTGTCCTTCTCCTTGTTGTTGTTCAGACTGGCCGTGGACTCGGCTTTGATGAAGCCCCCTCCGGTCCGGTGGTTTTCCTGGAGCGCCTGGCGATACGCCTCCGAGTACTGCGCGATGTTGCTCAGCCCGAATTTCTCCATCAAGTCGCCGACGAGACTCGGCTTCTGGTCCACGCGACCGTCGTCCCCCAACTGGCCCTGTGTCGACAAATCCTCCGGGGTGTTCTCCTCGCCGTCGTCGCGCTCGGTTTTCGTGTCGTTGTCGTCGCCGTCGTCCAGATCCATATTTTCGTCGCAACTACTATCGTCGTCGGGCACCGTCTCCACGCTGCCCTGGGGGCTCTGAGCACCCATCGACGACTCCTGGTGCTCCTTCCTCATGTGCTTCCTCAGCTCGGCGAAGCTCGTCAGCTCCGTGTCGCACACCTCGCATCTGGCCGACACGGCGGAGCCCTCGGAAGCGTTCTCCGGGTACTGCATGCGCTCCTTGTCTCGGTGACTCTTGCGGTGCACAATGAGATTGGACTGGAAGCGAAACTTCTTGTCGCACACCTCGCAGGTGTAGACCACCGCCTCGACGCTGTCCGCGCTGATGATCGGCGTGGATATCGCGGGCGGCGACGTCTTGTCGCTGTCCGTGGAATTGTTGTTGTTGTGGTGTCCAAGTGGACTCTGGCTGTAACAGGGTGGTGAGTTTTCTTTTTGTGGTAGGGAAAGATTGGCCGCCGCGGGTGCTGGACTGGGGGCCTCCTGGCTGACTACGGCAGTATTGCTGGTGCTAACCGCTGCCGAATTTGGGGGAGCCGCGCCTAAGGACGGGTTAGCGAGACTCCTTAGACGCGCCGAGTAAAAATCCAGATTGGCATCGAGTGGTGGTGGGTGGGACTGGGCACCTAGCCCTCGACCGTGCGACAACTCCGCGAGGTTCGCCAGGTTGCGCGCGTTGTTCAGGGTGTCGAGCGAGCTGCGCACCAGCGGGTCGCCCAAGTTCAAGCCGTCGATGCCGCGCAAAGGGTCCCCCAAGTTGCGCGTGGCCGTCTGCAGGTCTTGCAGGCCCCTGTAGCCAGCCAGGTGGTTGATCGCGAGAAACTCGGGCCTGAACATGGGGTTGAAGCTGCGCTCCAGGTGCTGGGGCAGTCGGAGGAAGCTGTGCAGGGGGTCGCCGACCAGGGGGTTCGTGCTCGGTATTTGCTGCCGGTTGTTGTTGCCTCCTCCGCCGCTACTGCCGCTGGAGGTGCCTCCCGAGCTGTTAGCCACCGACGAGCTGCCCGTGGACTTGCTGCTCAGGTTCAGGTGGTTCAGGGGCGAGAGGTGGTGCGCGTGTACGCTCGGCGTCGGCGTCGGTGGGCTCGGCGCCGGCGTGTTGGATGACGAGTTGGCCGAGGACGAGCTCGGGGTGAACAGCCTCGAGCCGTGCACCGTTTGCGCGTGCTGGAGCAGCTCCCACGCTGAGGCCAGGCGTCGGGTGCACTGGGAACATTGTAGCCACTTTGGTTCTGCAACAGAAAGCGGACGGGAGGAAAGCTTGATTTGAGAAAGATACGTGGTTCGCTTCGGTCACTTATCAGGCAGATCACGGAGACAACATCGCATTATCGGTTTCAATCGCCGGTCGCCCTTAATTCGCTGGCAATTTGCCGATTGAATTCCAAATTCAAACCGCGACTGCTGCGTCAAATTGCGCGCGAGCGAACGCCCTCGGAAAATAATATCCCCGGCGTCGGGAGCGACGACAGGCTGCCTGCCGGCATGAAAAAAATGGGGAGCCAGAGAAACTGACCCTTAACGATGAGCGCGGCGTCGGGTTTTGAATTTCAATGTTTTTAATCCGGAATATCAGATTTTCGGCCATTTTTCACGCCCCTGGGATTTTTATTAATTCGACCCCTCGCCCTTTTCCTTTCTCTTCTCCGATATTTTTCAGTGCAGCCGCCGCTGCCGTTAGCTCGCCCATAACATGACCTCGAGTATGTGTTCTTTTTTTCAGTCGTCGGGGTGCGATACACGCACCTTGTGCCCTCTCGCGATAATTTATAGCCACGCGTGCGCGTCGAATCCGCGAATGGCTTAGATCCGATTAGCCCGAGAGCCGCACAGATCAATCGATAAGCTCGGCTGAATTAACGTCAGATTGCACTTGAGGTAACCCGTATATGCATTTTCAATGTAAAGTGGAAAGAGACAGGAAGAGAGAGAGGGGGGGGGGGGAGTCGAAGGAAAGAGTGGACTTTATATCTATCTAAAGATAGATATAAAGTTTAAGTGAATGATTTATCGTGGACGCTACCTCGTCGAAGCACTGCAGCGGACAAAGGCATCCTCCCTTTCGCATTCGCTTGCTCCCTTTTCTTTTTTGTCTTGGGCCAAGTTGCCGCGGAGAAAGTAAAGCGGCGCGCTTTAAATGAGCTGTTAAGACGAAAAACTTTTTCCGGCGGAGGTTTGTAAGCTTGTCGACCGATTGCAAAGTAGCAAGTTTTCTGGTTGTCCGTGCCCCGAGCGCGAGCGAAACAAGGGAGAGAAACAAAGGAGGGGACGCTCGCCAGCTTTTAATTAAATCTTTGATTCCCCAATCGAATCGGAGCGGAGTCTGGTCAATTGCGATTATTTATGCGCTGCGACGGAGATTACGCTTTCACGAGAGACCAATATCAGTTATTCAAAGTCAGCGACGGCGGAAGGAAAAGCTTCCGGGCTGAAAAAAAGATACGACGGGATTTCCGAGGAGAAGCGTGACGAGGCGACATATTGTTTCGCGCCTGGCCACCCGAAAATATTGCCGACTTCCCGCGATAAGGCGCATAATAAAGGTAGGCTATCGATTCACGGGGCCTTTCATATGCAAACTTCACGGCTGGCTATCCGTTAGACTTTGCTCCCTTTACAACAACTGATTTCCATAGATGTATGAAGCTCTCGCTCGCTCGCGCTCTCTCTCTCTCTCTCTCTCTCTCTCTCTCTCTCTCTCTCTCTCTCTCGAGTGAAAACGAGATACGACTGAGGTCCAGCCACAGCGGTCGGAGGAGTTGGGGTGGCAGAGGGTGGCCGGCAGTAGCAGCATTTTTCCGCCGAAATTGGCCGTGAGAGAGGTCAAATCGCTCGGAAGTCGAGCCCCATTGTCTAGGCCACGGCGGGTCATCCTGCGGATATAGCCACTCTCGGCTACAACCCTTTCACGCGAGATTTCATTCGAGGATCGACTTTCGGAGGAGGCTCCGTGCGCAGCTCCATAGAGAGCTTGGGGGACGACGGATCGACACGACGACAGCGACGCCGCCGACGACGACGAGTTGATCAATGCAGGGACGCGAGGAAAAACAAAAAGACGCAGGCGTGTATAGCCGATGACAGCTTAGAACAAAGGCACGCTTTGCGCGCTGACAATATTAAAATATCGATTGGCCGATGTATGCGACGTATGCACTTTGTGACGATCCAGCAGCGCGACAAGGGGGCCAAGGGTTGCGCGCTGCAGTCGAAGGGACAGGCGACTGCAGCTCTCTTCGATACTTTAGGTGCGGGCGCGCTCGTTTTATTCCGCTGCGCACGTCCGACCAGGCCAGCGCTCCGATGATCGCCCGGATAAAGGCATAGCTCGGCAGCACTTGCCGCCTGACCAGATATTAAAATTATCGATGTTGCAGGGAATCGGCGCCGAGCGGTGATAACGGCTCCCCGCTCGAACGAATCGATCGTCGTTGCGTGCTTTCGCGCCGCTAAAGAAAGCCAGCCACGACCAATCAGCGAGCTGGAAAAATGTCTACACTGTTTGGGCGCAGCACACAAAGTCTGAAAGTTGAGACAATCTATTCAGCGAAGCCACCAATAAAGCCGATACCCTTCCAAGTAATTCTCGCGGCGCGCACAGCCAGCGACCAGCCAGCGACTCTCGTGGACACGAGTGTACACGAGCCCGAGGAGGAGAGCACAAAGAGCGTCATTGTGGTCAAGTCGCAGATTGGTCAAGTTGCGTTTAAAAGATCGCTTTATGTTGCTTGCCAGTCTCCTTCGACCGCAGATTCGCGCCATTATTCCGGACTGCGAGCGCGCCTTCATTTCGACGAAAGTCGTAAACGAGCTGCCCGCATACGATGATGAGACTGCGGCCGCCGACTGACACGCCGCTTCACCGCTCTCCGCTGCTACGGCATGAGTATCGATTCGTGCGTGTATTGGCTGTGGACTGAGCGACTACGTATAACTGACTTTTTGTACGCTTGACAAGGACTTGCAGGTGACGACAAAGAATTCGCAGGGTCTACCGAAAATTCATCTTCTCCTGTTCCGTAAAGCATTATTCGTAGCAGATATTTTTTGGTGCAAGCGATCACGGATCGTTGAAATCATCGTTGAATGTAGTTTTTCAGCGCGCCCAACCCATTGGAACTCGAGCAAAATGCGCCCGTGAAACGGGCGTCTGTACACGATGTTTTTTTCGGAATTGAAATTGTTAAAAATTGAATGAAGCAATCCAGAGCAGGGGAGAGTCATTGAAAAAGTTATCTGCGAAGATTGAACTGTCGCCGGTGTTTTTCTTTTCAACTTTGCACGGGACAAGAAAAAGTTTGCGAATTCCAATGAATTTGTTGCACAAGCGCATCGTTATCCATAAACATTAAAATTAGAAAATAAAAGTGTGGCACGAGTAGGATGTCCCGCATGTTCCACATAAAACATGTTATTGCTGGCGTTGCTGTCGCGAGAGATAAAGTTTTGATAAACAGAGAGTGGTTGGTGGCGTAACTTTAGCTGGAAATTAAAAAACAAAGAAGGGAAGAAGAGAGTGGAGAGAGGAGAAGAAAGGAAAGGAAAGGAAAGGAAAGGAAAGAAAGGCAAGGAAAGGTTTCGGAGTGGCTCTTTAGTCTGGAGTGTGGGTGCTGCGTAAGTCCGTGTGTTTCGAGCTCGGCTACTAGGCGGCAGCAATTCGCAAGCAATTTCGCGGTCGCCGCAGGCGAGGAGCCGACGCCGCGCCGCCGCCTTTTCTCTCGGCCGGGCTGCTGTTGCTGCTGCTGCTGCCGCTGCCGCCGCCACCGTCGCCGCCGCCGCCGCCGCCGCCGCGCCGCTGCAGAGAAAGAAATAGAAAAGCGGAAGGGAAAGAGTCAAGTGGCGTCCGAGTGCCGGAACGAGGGATAACTCTGCCGGAGAATTAATATTCGGAAGGTGACAGATACATCGGATCTGCATCTCACGAATGGCTCCAGATGGTAAGGACACACTATTGACGTCCTTCTTTTTTTCCGGAGATCGACACGATCGAAATCTCTCGGCGTATTCTATTCCCTCCTCCCTGTACCTCTGTTTTGTTGTTAAAGTGGTTTTGCAGAATTTAACAAGGGAGCGCGCACGGTATTAACAGAAGTGGCAGGTATTGACGGATTATTGCTTTTCACCGACGCTTCCTGCGCTAAACCATTCAATCACCGAGTCTCGAGATGATCAGATAGCTTACAATGCCACCGCGTGTAACTTAATATTTTCCGCGGGACCTCTCAATTATGGATTTCTGGATAAAGTTCCGACGAAAACACAATCGTATCTGGCGTCCGTCGAGATGGACAAGAATTCTGCCGGGGCGACTAGCGGTCGAATCGCTTGCGTCGCGGGATGCTTCGCTTGTTTAAACAAACGTCGCAACCGTCGTCGCGACAATGGGCAGGCGCAAGAGGAGAGCAGCACGTGTCGGAATGGGGCAAAAAAGCGTGGAATGGCCGCGCGCCTGCCCCTTATAAATAACACTGACACGCGAAAGGTAGCTGAGGGGATGCGAAGATACATGCCACGCACGCAGCCGGGCTACGCTACGCGGCTCGTGCGCATCCACGTGGCCAGACAATGGGACGATTCTAATTGGGCTTTCGGCGACGAGGCGCGAAAAAAAGCCGGACAAAAAGCTGGACCGTAGGATCAGCTCGACTCGCTCGTGCTGCCAAGGGTTAAATCCGGTACGGGAGGGCAGAAGGGGTCGCGCGAGCGAGTCGACCGACCGACCGACAAGCGGCAGCGCCAGCACGCGCCTCACTATTAAACTTTCAAGCATTGCGCAGTCGCTTTCAGCGAGCTTGTTGTGTTTGGGGCATGATTAATTGTTCATCGCGCTCGTGGCTTTTGTTTTATGCTTCAATTATTTAGCCGAGACTGCTCGTCTACGGGTAAACCTTTAACCCAGCTCGCGTTCTGCTTCATCTTCGTTTCTTTGCCTTTCCTATCAAAGGCTTCTTCAATATGCTTTACGAGCTGCTTAACTTTTATGCGCACTCTAATGGTTTTTTTCCCAATTACCAATGCCAGTCAGTGCTACGTGCTTTTCATTAATGCAATTGCCACGTTTCTTCAAGACTACATGGGGCTTTTCTTTACAACTAAAAGCTCTGACTAACGGACCTAAGGTTAAGCCGAAACAACGCGTACTGCTGGCCAGATGTCAAAGTTCATTGTTTCTCAAGAGTTTACGTGTATTCGTAATGTTGAGCAAACGTTGAAACGAAAATGTTGACCCGAAGAGAAGCACGGCTCTGGATCATATTATCAGGAGTCGGATTAACTTTCAAGTTGTGAAACACGGTAGCGAGAGTGCATACGTTAGAGCCCGATTATTGCTAGTTTGAAATGTTTTGCAGACAATGGTTTCGAAATCAAACGAAGAGCGAGGTGTGCAGCGCGGCACGCCGGGCATGGATTAACGGGAAAAGTTTCGAGAAAACGAGCAGACTTTTCGCTTAGGAAAGACATTGAAACTCGATCGAGCGGGTGGCAAACAGGCAAACAAAAAAGACTGACCAAATGTCGCTTGACAACTGTAACGTATCCCAGGCGCACGCTGCTCAAGTCCCCGAAGATAATGAAAAAAATTGGCGAGCCAGTCCGAGAGCAGCGCACAATGACCTGCGAGCGGGTGCGACCCGCGCGCTCAAAACTGAAAAATCGAATCGGAGCCGAGGGGGGCGCAGATTCGCATCGAGAGGCATTGAAAGGCATCGAAGCGCCGCGCCGTCGCAAAAAGTGTCGCATGCGCGCGCGAGAGAGCGGCCGCGTGGATCGATCGATTTGCAGCGCGCGGGGAAGGGGCCCGGCGGCCAATGACGATGTGCCAGGTGCGGGACGCGAGCGCCGCGGCGCTCGGCTCACCTGTGCTGACGGTGTTGGACTCGGCGTCGACGGACTCGGTCTTGGGCTTCTTGGGCGCCTCCTCCTTGTCGCTGGCCTCGTCGCAGCCCTCCTGCGTGCGTCTCTTGGGCGTCGAGCTGGCGTTCGCCCTCAGCTCGATCGGGCTCTCGGCGTCGGCCGACGTGGGCGGGCTCTCGACGCGGCCCGACCTCTTGATGATCGGCGCCGATATGCTCGGCACCACGTTCAGCTTCTCCGCGTCCGCGGCCTTCAGGCCCAGGGCGTCCTCCGGATCGGAGTCCTCGGGCGCCGCTTGCGCCGAGGGACTCTGGCAGCCGGGCAAGTTGCTTCGGCAGTGGTTGACCTTGTGCTCGATGAAGCGCACGATCTCGCTCAACGGGTAGGATGCCCTGCAGCCGCCGCACATCACTATGTCCGGCGGTGCCGCGCTCTGGGATGTCTCCGCTGAAATCACAACAAAGCAGTTGTGCTCGTTAGACTCGGTAGTTTCGATTGGCAATCGTAGGCCACGCGCTCTGCTCAGCACTTGAAAAATTATTTTTACGACGGGACTTGGAAATATTGGCCCGCATAATCGCGTCGAGAAGACGCATCGCTGACGACATTATTTCTTCTTGCACGTTGTCCGGAGAAATATATATACGAGCAGAAGTCGTAGAGCTGATAAGTCACGGCATCCGGCAAAACATGGACAGAGAAAAGAGTGTGCGGCGGAGAGCGCCGAGTTTCTCTCTCTCTCTCTCTCTCTTCTCGACTGTGATAAAGTTTATATCTAGGGAATTTAATAGCGCACTCGAATAAGGAAACCGTCGGCGGTGGCTGCCGTTGCAGCTCGGACTTATAGAGGCGCGGGGGTCAGCCGCAGACGTAACAATTCACTTTTAGGGCTCCTCCAGCTCGGCACAAGAGAAAGAGCTAGCGCCGGGTCTCCGGCTTCTGGCGCCCGCTTGCGCGCGCGACATTAACATAGAGATTGGCAGGAGTTCATATATTGATCTTTTTCCCTAGCTAGCTCTCAGCAACAACAGCCGCATATATAGACTCGCGCCTCCTGCACTTTGTCTCGCTGCTCTGCGCTCCTGTCTCCGCGCGAGACTCATTATCGGCCAATCGATTTTCTCCCGTCCGACAAGGGCATTCCTTTCGGGCTCTCATTAGCTCGTCGAAATGCCTAATGGCGACAAGTGCTCGACGCGCGCAAGGGGGTATCGATCGCGCTCGACGCGCCTGACCATTGGGCGGAGCAGCGAGCGCTTGACCATTGGCCGCTAGCCGTTGCGCGGCCACACCTTTCGTAAAAGCCTACTGCGTGCGGTACGGCGGAGGCCAGCAGAGCGCGCGACTTTTTAAAAGGCCTGCGCGCGCGCGCGCGCGCGCGAACGAGCGAGCGAGCGAGCGGGAAAGCAAGGCGGGCAGGGAGGGGTGGCGCGCGGCACGCGAAAGCAATGGGGGGAGGGGCGCAAACGGCGGCAGCACCCTTGACTTGCTTTTTCCCTGCTCCCCTTCTTCCTTCTCTTCGTTACGTCTTCTTCGTCGTGGTCGTCTTCTTTAAAAGTCGCCGTGTATCGCGCCAGCCAGCCCGCAAGAGATTCACTTTCGCCGTGCCGTGGCGCGCCGTCAGAAATTAAAATATCGAGTGGCCCCGGAAAGAGAGAGCCGCAGAGCTCGCGCCAGAAGGGAAAGTTGTGCGGGTGCGCGCGATCGGATCAAGTAGAGAGAGAGAGAGAGAGAGAGAGAGAGAGAGAGAGAGAGAGAGAGAGAGAGAGAGAGAGAGTAGAGACAAAAAGAGAGAGACCCATATTCAGCTAGCACGCGCGACAACAGTCAAAGGATTTTTCAAACAGGTTAGCGGTAAAAACGCTTGGGGTCGGGGATGAATACCAAGCGAGATGGAGGTAAAAATTTTTTTTCGTGAATAAGCGTACGTAGCTCCGGATCCGTTATATGCGCGAGGAGCGAGTGCGTGGACCGCTTCTCCTACGATTGAAAGCCGCTCGGTTAGAAACAAGAGACCGTCCGCTTTTTAGCGACAATGGCCTTTTGTTTTTTCGGGGGCAGATGTTGAAAGAGAGCGAGAGAGCCGGAGAAGGAACTCCTTTACACGCGCGCGCTCGCTACTCACGGCTCGTCCAAATCATTGATATATCGGGATATTAGTTTACCGGAGGATCGACGACGCAGCGTAAAAATACAATATTACTCGCGGTAAGAGAGAGGGAGAGAGAGACTGAGCGAGCGCGCAAGTTGGATTGCTTACGAATTGGCCTATACATCCGTAATGCCTCGATCAACCTATGTCGAGCGTCTCTCTCTCTCTTTCTCTCCCCCTCTCTCCCCATCTTTCGCATCGCCTGTGTTCAATCTTTCTTTCTCCATCTCGCGCACAATCAACTCGTAACCCATTGGTAATTCGACGAGTGGCCCGCTAACTTATTACCAATATACTTATGCATATTGATATCTCGTCAGTCCTCGACGAGATACTCTATGATACACGTCTCTGTATGTACGTTTGTGAGTTGCGCCAGCGCTGCCTAGCTCTCAGTAAGTTCGTTTACCGCTACGTTTGCGCTGCTCCAGGGCTAACGATCAAACGTTAATTACGGTCAATATCTATCGTCAATTTTCTTTCTTAAAACAGTGCCGCGGTCATAGGCTTACTTAAAATATTTATTTTCTAAAGTTCAAGTAGCAATTCAAAATATTGTCCAATTCAACATCCATAAACACTGTTTAATTTGAATAATCACTTCTTATTAGAAGTTGAGATTGGCAAACACAGTGGTGCACTAGAGTCAAACTTCCAGATCGCGCCAGCAGCACATGTGTGCGCGTGTCTGTGGCACGTATGGCTTGCGTGTGGGAAGATATAGCCCGCGGCGGTGTCCTTGTTAAGACATCCGTCCTGTCAAAACGTCCAGAGGACACATCGGAACAATTGAATTACGATCATCCCCAGGCGTCTCTCTCTCTCTCTCTCTCTCTCTTCCTCCCAGTCAAACCAATAATTCCATTACCCATTAGAGTTGTGTATTGCTGCGTCGTCGTACCAACTTCATCCACCCCGCGACACGTAAACGAGGATTACTCTCGTGCTTGCGAACACGTATCGCGACAAAAGGAAAAAACAGATAGATATAATAATGGAATAACAAGGCGCGACTATCGAGTTTGCCAGCTGATGAATAATTAAAGAGTGACTATTGAATTTACCCATTATGTGAAGCGAGGAGAGAGCACTGTCACGGCGACATGACGGTGAGCACTGGTCGCAGAGTATCACTAATCACAGACACACGTAGTCGCAAGATGATAACGTATGGACTTTCCGTTAGGTCAATTCCGACGGCGTTTCTAATATGGCAGTCCGGGGGAGAGAGACTCGCTTGGTCCATGCTCGGATGCAGACTGCTGAGAGAGCTGGTAGGCCTAGGACCCCGACAGGATATCAAAAGAATAGAAAGGACCCCGCGCTGGCGCGCATGTGTGCACCAGCACACACGCGTACACGGCGAAGTGGGGATGATTTTTATACGTGCGCGTACCATCCGAATGAGTGAGTACCTCCTCTCTTTTTTTTCACCCCGAAACCCCCTTCGGATTTTTTTTTTCGATTAACCGGGCCGGTTTTTTCTGCTCCTTCTACGCAGCTAACCGTTCTACGAGCGACAAAAAAATGTTCGTTGACCCGTCGATTTCGGCGCTGCTACTGCTGTTGCTACTGCCACCACCACTACGACGCTACGCGGATGAGGATGATTTATCTGATTTTAAACGGCGGCTTGAGTTACACGACTACTCGTCGTCTCAATTTTCGAGAGACGTGAAAAATCGCACGCGAGAGAGAGAGAGAGAGAGAGAGAGAGTGGACAATATGCGTGAGGGTCGAGAGGAATATCAATTTTTCCGATGAATGAACGTCCCGAGGGTGGACTCTCATAGAGAATCAAGAGTCCGGAATGCGATGTGGGCACAAAGATCCATTCAAGCTCGCCGCTCACGACATCTTATGATCGATGCCGTGTCCTTTTAATATTCCGTAAATAAATAATGCCCACTTTTCAAGGCGTCGCGCACACCTGCACGCGAGATCTCGTCAATTTGAGACATTTCTTAGTTTTGCACAATTCAGGCGACCACGAGCAACTCAGCAAACTGATCCTTCCAGATGCCGGTCGATTATTTCATTCGCTAATGATATATTCGTTGAAAATTTGAATTCGACGCGATGTCTATCAAGTGGACTTTACAAGCGGATTAACGACAAGTTCTCCGAGAAAGCTCCTTAAGCGAATAAATGAGGGGTGAATAAACAATCGCCTTACGAAAATTGACTGCGAGGCGGTTAATTGAACTGACAAGACATAAGCCGTTGATAGCGCGAAAGAGACCGCGAAAATGGTCCCACGGTAGGCGAGATGGATCGCGGCGGATAAAGGTGTGCTGCAGGAGTAGCAGCGTCACACACGCATTGTCCGGCTTTCTCTCCATTGAACGACTCGGAGCGCGGAAAAACGGGGTGACCATACTTCAGAGCGTGAAAAAAAGGCAGCGCCAGCGGCAGACCGAGAGAAAACACGCTAGTTATGAAAAATATGAAATCTCGTTCTCACGCGGCAGATCGTGGGAGGATCTCTGGGTCTGCCTTTGTGTGTCCTGCCGTTGTCGGACGCTGTCCATTGAAAAGAAGCAGGCCCCCTGACCTGTCCTCTCTCCCTCTCTCGGTCTCTCTGTCTCGCTGTTCCTCGCTCACGGACACATAGCGTAGCTCGCATACAAAAACCCTTTTGGCTGTGATTTTTTCGATCAAAATAAATCACGCGTACAGTTATGTTTTGCACAGCTGCAGCCTTCTTCCGGACGGAGCGGCGCGTCGAGCACATCCTCCGAATTTCCCATGACTCTCGGCAGCTCGGCGAGAGCTGCTACTTATTCTGGCGGCTTCTCTTCGGCCTCCGATTGTTATCGCGAAATCAGCGCCACGGCATTCGTCCGCGATTTTTCGACGACAATGCGCTCATACCGCGCGAACAAAAACCGCGCACGAGCGGTTCTACCTCGCATCCGAAACGGCGACAGATATAAAAGCGGATCGCGCAGCTTTTGTACTGTCCGGCGCTTAATTAGAAACTCTCGGGCCGGCAGCAGCCACGGGAGTGAGGCAGCTCGTTACATTATTCAAGCCTGTGGTGTCGGAGCAGCGGCAAACTCTCGCGTGCGAGCAACTTTTGAAAGAGCGACTGCCGAATCGTGCTCTGGCGAGCGAATAATTAACGTAAAATCGAGACAAAGGCGCGGCCGCGCGGCGGCGACGAGTTGCGTGTGCCGGCGAGCGTGGCGTCGAGTCAAGTGCGAGCGCGAATTTTCTCCGTTAAACCGATAAATCACGCACAGAGCTGCGAGCAACGCAGCTCTCGCTCGCTCGCTCGCACCTTTCACCGCGC